TCCAGCTGTTCTGTCACTCCAACTGATATCACTCAGCACTGCTTCAGGACTCCCTCTTTTGCTACCTCTCACACAGCAGTAATAGTGACCTTGTTGACCACCCTCTAGGAAAACAAAACTTCATGCCTTCGTAATACACCATCACGCTTCTAAACCAGAACTGCCTCAATAGTGATGGTATTCAAGCCCATTTCTTTCCTGTATCATCTTATCATCTTTGTAAAATACATGAGCCTCTCACCTTGAACTGTTATCACCATTTGGTTTAGAGTTTCTTATTCAATCCAAGATGAATCCCACCTAGGAAAGTTAAATACTCGATCAGTGGCTTACCACCATGCTGCACATTGGAGGTGATGTTGCAAAAGTTATGGTTGCAGTTTATGGGTTCAGAGGCACATGACACTGTGCAGCTTGTCCAAATAAGTAACAGGATGAAAGATTATTTTACTGACAGTCTTGCTAACATGGTCCACACTTTAATCAGAAAATCAATTAAAAAAAGAAATGGAATGTACCACTCCAATAGTGGAGTTAATGCAAAAGCCTACGTCAGAGAAAATACTTGCACCTGTACCACTCAGCTCCCACATGAACAACAAGTCAGTCTGTACTGGCACAGAGATTTATGTACATAGATGCTTTAACCAAACTAGGAGTTTCACCCACATTGAAGCATGGTTAACATCATTGCTTGTTAGTCTCTTAATTGTTTTGTATGAAAATCAAATTCTAAATAAAAGATTAAAATGTAAAGTGTTTCTTTCACTTCAGGAAGCAGATTAAAACCAAATAACTCAGCATAATCTCCACACTCACCATCAGCAACTGGGAGTGACCAGAGCTTTTCTTCATGTGAACAAGGCAAAGATTAAGGCTGAAGTTCAGAACACTATGCTGAAATAGTGCATTTCTAAAAGGGCAACCAACCCAATAAGACAGGAAAAGACCACATTTTACATTCACGTATCTTAACACATGCTTCCACTAAAGGAAAAAGCAGTTGTGAAAAGACATTAGGGGTGGCGTTACAAGAAAATTGCCACTACGTCACTACATAAACAGCCTTCACTCCTAAACCAGAAGACAGTGTTTTCAATTAAAAAAAACATCCTCGGTTTTAGTGACACAGATAAGAGCTGCTGGTACTTCTGACTTTGTTTTGGTGTATGGGCTTATCTGGAATTTGTGCTGTTGTAACTACAAGCAGAATCTGGAAACCACCAGGCATCTGCTTTATCAGAGTAATTAAGAAAGAAATAATTATACTAATAATTATAATTATTGTTCAATGAGAAGTAATAGTTTAACGAAATGTCTGCCAGCCAATAGTTCTTCACAGTGCTATAAATGCTGGCCATCTCAAAATGAAATGGTTAAATAGCTGACACTTTAATCTGTGCTGTGAATAGTGTCCTGTTTTGTTTGCTATCATGGAAAGAATATAGTCTTTGCAATTAAGATGCAGGATTAAAACTGATGATGCACACTGCTGTTCAGTGACCTACTATTGTTAATGTAACAAAGAATGTGCCTGTGTTTTCACCTGAACTTGCTGATTTTCAGCTTTTCATACTGTATGCACGCCTGAGGGGTTTTTACACTTTCTACCCTTGGGACCCACTGCTCAGTGGGGGTGTCTTTGCTGAGCAATTGAGAAATTGGATATCCAAACAGACAAAGAATAAAATCTTGGCAGAAACTTCAGCTCTATCATTGCTCTCCTAAAGCCAACAATGGAAAACTACAGCGGGGCTGGAGACAGTCTACTAAATAATTTATGACATACCATGCATTCCTGAATGACCTTTTCCCACTAGGTGTGCATTAACACATGGAAAATCTTACCTGGCCTCAGAGAGAAAGAAGTTGCCCACCATTCTACTACCTCAAGCTAGACAATAGCTTTGACTACTCTGAGACAATGCTGATGACTTACAAACTTGTGCTACAGCCTGTTCTAACTCTGTTTGATCTTAACTCGGGTTTTAAATACACCTTTGAAACAATCACTATACCAACACAGGCTTTATCTACTACATTCATTGCTTGCATCTCAGCAGACTACTACCTCAAAAACCAGCTTTTGTCAAACATGACATTATGCAATGCTACCTCATTCCTAGTCACAAAGCTTTCAAAAGTCAGGGAAAAACCTTCATCTAAGACTGCAGGCTACATTAAAGCACCATGATTTACTTTCAAATGAGGATTACCATTCCCCCAGATTTCAATTGATTACTATGGACCATGCAAAATGCCACAGACCACAGAAGCTACATTTTCACATACATGTTTTTATTGATTAATCAGGCATTGAATCAAGTATTGCAAAATAAACAGACTTTGTTCATTTAAAAATGTCCAGAAGAATACCATTCATAGCAAACTTGTTTCCTCATAGCCATACAGAATACGAAATTGTTCAAGAAACAAGCAAAAAAGGAACACCTGACTAGTTACTGTGCGTGTGTGTATATACATACATATGCACATACACATATACACTATATTTGTGCATATACTGCTGTGTGTGCACCCATACATATGTATACATATATACACAAACATATATGCAAAAAGACGACTGACTCATTGAATAACCCACTGGAGAAATGTGCCTTAGCTCCAAATGAAATATTCTGTATTAAAATAAAAATGATACAGCAAAGTCTGCAGATAACAGACCTTCCTTTTTTACATTGGCCAAAACCATGTTCAGTCTTTAGACTCACAGTCTACCTTTACAATTAAAATGTGGGAGATCGTTGGGGATCTTTCCAAACTCTTGGTATTATTTGCATCCTGCTCAATCTCTGCCAACATTGTATAGCCAAACACTGAAGAGTGTTGCTGTTTGTCCGCTACCAAAATCAGCTTCTAGATTTTATATTTCTGGCAAAAGAGAAGATACGCACCCTTGATACATGCACTTTGGTAATACACACTTTCCTTTTAGGTGGAAACTTACAATAATCCTACATGAAAACTCCTTTCCTCCTGCATCTTGTTATCTCTGCTTTGCATCAGTCGTCTCTTGTAAACTCAGTAATTTTCATGTCATCTTAGCTATCTTTCTAACATCCCAGCCCAGATCATCAGGACAATGTGCCTCAGATTGTATTAGTATCATTGTGATCAATTACAAAATTTAATGAGGATTTATTTACTTTTTTGTTTTTGTGGGTAGACCTTTCTTATTAAAGATACTATGATAAACACTGCTGTTCACTTTATTTACAAATTTTTGCTTATTTATGTCAAGTCTGGAAAGAACAGTGCCTCCTACCTTTGAATCATGTGATACTACCCTAGATGAAAGCCATGGTACTGGAAATGTACTGTCAGACTTTTCTCCATTCAATTGTTAGCTGGGCAAGTTAAGGGAAATCAAAGAAACATGGATAGGCATTTATTTTCTCTTTAAAAAAAATATGGCAAAAACAAATAGGCATGTATTTATTCCTCATCTTGCTCATAAGTTTTCCACATCATCATAAGGAAAATTGTATTACAGCTTAGTACCTGGAGAATCAGTATCCAAAAATCTGAAGCTGAACTTAGGACCATTTTAGTTTGGTCCCATTAGTGAACAAAGTGCATGAAGGCATCCTTCTCAAAAGACACCTAAAGCTTGGTTATAAATTACTATTTTCTTAAAGCTGGTATTCAATCTCTCCTCTTTCTACACAGGCAGATTTTCACCACTTGCATAGTAACAACAAAATACTGTAGGAAAGTAATTCTTTTAGAGTTGCCATATGCCTTAAGCATCTTCCAAAATGATCATTTATACATAAGCATTGTAGTAATTACAAAGAACTTCTATTCTGTAGAAGGAAACGTGGGGGAAAAAAAAAAGAAAAAAAAAGAAAAAAAGCATCTGATTCAGCATTGAGATAAAGTAGGTACAACCTGCATTACCTTCACTGACGTTCACCCATCAACACCAGGATGAATGTGGGCCTAGCCCATGCAGATTCCTACTGCTGCTGAAAACTTATTTCCTCCTCATTCACAAAAAGCACTGTGCTTTCCCAAACAGACCAGGACAATGAGAACCCTGACCAAACCCCAGTTGCAGTGTTTCTCCATACAGCACATGTAGACTCTATTGCCTTGCTTTTGTTATAGAGTCTACATAGTGTAAGACCATGAAACATTTGTCTTTAATTTAAAACCAATGGTAAAGTGGCGCATGTCTCACTTCCGAGTTGTTGGCTGGGCTTGCTATGTTGAACCTCGTAAAATCAGCAATAAGCATTCACATGTCTACCATCACAGCTGTGACATCTTCTATTACAATCAATCCTTAAACGATGCCATGCTTTATCAAATTGGCCTACAGACAGACCTTGGGTTGGCTGCTGTCCTCCAGTGGTGTTGATTCTCAGATACAGTATCAGTTTTTCACATCCTCAGTGATTCTACAATGTTTCCCAAAGATGAAGGCGAAGCACTGGTATATGGGAATGTTGCCATCAATAAAATAAATCGCTAGATGATTTATCCACTCACATTTCTAGGAGATATTCCACATGTGTTTTATGAACAGAGAGAGCAGTGTCCTGTGAGCAGAAGTATATTAAAATTTCTTCGTTTGCTGTGTTGGCTAGCTGCACTTCCTCACTTGTTTATTTTTGTTCTTTTTGATCTGCATACTCCCATGTGCAAAGTAGAAATTAGGAGGTCTCACACTCAATAAGACTGGTAATGAGAGTGCTAATATTGGCATGAATAAAACCTGCAGTATACTGACTCATCCACTGCACAGTTTTCTTTCTTCCAATTTCCTGATATTATCCACTGTAAAATAAAGTGATGCAAAGGGCTGATGAAACTTTAATTGACAGGACCATCAATGTGCAAAACAAATAAGTCTTTTTCCAGGTGTCCAAACCAGGCTTTCCATTCTCTCTCTCTCTTTTTTTTTTGTTGTTTTATTTTTTTAAAAATTTTTTTTGTTTGTTTCTTTTTTTATAAATAATTTATAAATCTTCCTGTAAGAGACTAAATACAAAACCAACCAAACAAAACCAACTCCAAAAGGAAGTTCTAAGATATTATTAAAGCCATTTCTTGTCCTTCCACACAAATTACACAGTAAAGAGAGATTCTCCCCTTTTCAGTTCTGGCCAGATTTGGCAGTGATGACAGGGATGCCACGCAGCCTGCCAGCTCCAGGCAAGCTCCTGGGAATACACATGGTCCTACCTTTCGGCTCTTAGCAGTCACGCGAGCTGCTCGGAGGAGTCTAGGTGGTCAGGGATAGGCAAGCCGGTTATAATGGTCAAACACTTATTCCACACAGTGAACGTGGGGCACACTGGCTGCCCAAACGTAATGTCAAAAGTGTAAAGGTGTAGGGAGTTCAAAGCATCATAAAAAGCAAGGGAGCCGTTGTCATAGTCCAGCAAAATCCCGACGCGCCGGAGGTGAGGAGCGGGCTCGATGGGGATTTCTTTGCTGTTGTGTCGCACCACCCACGTGTTATTGCAGCGGCAGAGCACCCAGGAGGCGGAATTCTTCCCGATCCACTCGTGCTTTGGTGCCGACTTGTAGGAAATGCCAATGGCATACCTGCAAAGCAAGAAACAGCCCATTGAAGCAAATGCTAACTGCCCCTCTTGTCTCTTGGTGAAGTCAGATGTTAGGCTGGAGGACTCTCTGGAATAGCTCAGCCTCTTACTGTTCATTAAATTCTAATCAGGCAACGTTTCACCACAATATCTGCACAGGCTTAATTAATGTTTTTTCCCCATCTCTCCTTGGGGTCTGAGGGGTCAGGAAAACCTGAATGTCCGTCACTTCATTTTCAGTTTGGCTGCTATGGTAATTTTTTTGAACATTCTCCTCTGCTATTCAAAAGGAAGACTGTGGAGCACTCAGTAACTCAGAGTTTAAATCACTGGGCCTCAAATTTCCAGTTCCAAACAGAAGAGCACAGAGGAATTAACTGGTTTTAGAATGCACTGCTATCTGTCAGCTAATCTGATCTTTCCTTGCTCTTTTAATATATTGTCCAGAAGCAGGAAT